GCTCTCTGGACCCTGTTTTTCTTGCATTCCAAACTCCAAGATTAATTAGAGCTGACTTTTCTTTTTGGAACTAACTACAAAATCAACCGATCTCAAATTGAGATTACAAGCCAGCCGCCCTTCCAAAGCCCTGGCCTTCAATGGGGCAACCGACCCCGGTAATTCCCCGGATCACTTCCCGCCGGCCCTAATGACCGGAGGACCTGGGATTTCCGTGATTCCGGTCCTCTGTGGTGTGGAGGCTGGGCCAGAGAAACAGGAACTGAGCTGCCTTTTTCCCGGAAGGGAGTCCAGGGAACTCTTAATGGGGAGAAAGGCATTAGCCTTCCTCACCCAACTTTTCCAAACTGGGAAAGGGCCCTAGACCAGGCCTGAACCAGCTCCCTAGCCACCCAACCTTCCACTCCCCATACTCTCAGACCAACCTTCCTCCTCCCCTGCTGGGAACAAAGTGTCTGTGTGCTTAGTCTGCCCAGGGCCTCCCCACCCTGACCTAGCTGCGGCTGGAACCCAGACCTCACCTCAGGGAAGTCCATTCATCTCCTGGAGCTTCCCTGGCCTTAGTCTGGGTGGGAGCTGACCTCAAAGCCCCCCGCCTCCTTGCAGACTGTCTTCTCGCCAAGTCCCTGCCCAGCTTGTTCAACAAACAGCAAATCACCCATTAAGAAGCCACTCCCACAGGACCAGGGCATGGGTGGTCTGTGCTCCAAATTCTGTCGTCTCTGTAAAAGATGGGTCTTCCCACCTGGAAGCTGGGACCAGAACAGAGGGCCTGTTGATGCTGTCACGTGCTCAGGTACAGGGCCAGCTGGGGAGTCTCCATGGCAGCCTTAAAGTCAGGGCTGGGACAGGCCTTCAAGGTCATTCAGGGCAAACCCCTACCTGCACCTGTGCTCCCTCAGTGCCTTCTCAGTGACAGTGACTGCAATCCACGCCTTACTGCACTAGCTCTTGGCACCAAGGTTAAAAGCCAGCCTTCCATAGGGGTGGCCTGGGAGACACTGCTTCCGTCACCATACTCTGTGCAAAAGGACCAAGCTTTGTAAGTCTCGGAGCACCCACTTCCACAACTGCAGGATAGTACCGATAGGGTGGCTGAGAGGCCCCGGGGGAACCCCTGGGATTCCCTGCTGGGAAGACAAGGGAGGACAGAGGCAGAGGAGATAAATCCAGGCCCACAGGCCCTGACAGACTGAGAGCCAGGCCCTCGGAAGATGAAAGTAGTAATAATGAGTGAGAGGAGCGTAACTGAGTGCAATTTCTAACCAACTTCTTAAACCAGAAAACTGAGGGGAAACTAAGCCAGAAATAAGAGGGGAACTAGAAAAGGAGCCTCTGGACAGACTCTCCCAAGAGCCCTCATGGGAGCAGCTCTCTGAGCAGAAGCGGGTCACCGTCCTCCTTTGCAGCAACCCCCACCTGCCCCCACCTCCTGTCCTGCAAATGGGCCCTGACCACAGGCGACCTTGGAGCCCTTGATAATGACTCCCGCCTCACCCACTGTCCAAGAATCAATGTGTTGTGGTCTGGGAGAAGCTGCGTTCCGGTTCAGAGGTCAGGCGGGGGCAGGTCCACAGAGACCGGCCCTGGGGAGTGAGCCTAATGAGAGTGGAGTGAGCGGCAGGGGGAGGTCAGCCGAGGCGGCCCTGCTTCCTGCCCGGCAAAGGGGTGGGAGTGAGGGAGGCCCTGACATGGGCATCAAGGGAGCCCGGGTCATTTGCAGAATTAAGAGACTTGACCCAGAAAGGAGGAAAGGGCTGGAGGTCAGCCACCCTAACGAGGAGGGCTGCTTCCTAGGAGGCTCCCAGGGGCTCTGACTTCCCTTGAGTGCACGACTGTGCCTTTACTTACTCAGATCAATAGGGGCTGCAGACAACCCCAATTAGCCTGGAAACCCTCAAGTCCCGGGGCTTTGCTCTGCACAGTTTCCTGGAAAATTGGAGACAGAAGCCCCAGGATGAACATGAAGCTGACCTCACCCTCCTCTCCTGCAGGAGCACCCCACAGCTCTCCCTCTGTGGGCAGGGCGAGGGGAGAGCAGAGACTTGCTGGGACCCCTCCTACAGCTGCATTTGTACCCGAGCTAGGACCCCTCCCCCCCAACCTTTTTCTGGTGCTGCCAACAGACCCCAGTGTCACCTCTCTAGCTTTGGCCTCTCTCCCTCCTGAGGGCTGTCCAGGGGAGAAAACGCAGAGCTGGGGTGGGAGGAGAGAGACCGAGCATAGGAGTGGGTGGGAGGTATCTGGTCTAACCTCACTTTGCAGCCCTGAACCCAAAGGAGCATAGTGGCTTACCCATCGATGTCACACACACTTCCAGCACAGATCCCCAAGATGGAGGAGGGAAGAGGGGGCAGGGTCACTGGGGGAAGCAGAAGAAAAGACAGAGGAAGAGGAGGATGAAAGGAGACCTCTGAATATTCAGGGGCTCCCAAGCTGACTTCCCATCTGCACCCCCAAAAGGGGACCGTGGGGGCCCCCGGGCTGAGTTAGCCTAGCTGGGTTCGTTGGAACATTAGCAAGGGACCCTAGTCCTCCGAAGAGGGACAGAGACCCTCAGCTGGCGCTCCTGAGAGAAGGCTTTGAGACCTCTGTGGCCAGAGCGGCCAGACTTCAGATGAGGTCCTGATGCGCCCTCTGCTGGCCACAGAGAAGACCTGCGTGCTCAGGCAGGGCCCCACGCTTTTCTGGGTGCCCTAGGCTGAGCTGCCCTCAAGCATGAACCTCTTCATCCCTATGGACCACAGACCCGAGGGACCCCAGAAGAGAGGGGTTGTGCCCTGCTTACAGCCTGCAGAGGCTGTTTGATGGAAGCGGATGGAATATCCATCCATCTGATGTTCAAGGTGTTGTTCAAAGCCCTACTCGGCATGACCTTGGCCATCATGCCTGGCCTCTCTCTGCCACAGTTGGCTTGCCTGTGAAGCAGGAGTAACATCCACTCCCACACTGGAAGGGACTCTAGGAGGTCGAGTAGAGGAAGGATGTCAAGCTCTCAAGCCCATGGCAGGTGCCGTCCATGGCGGCGCCTCTCTGTGCTCTCTCCCACAAGAGGGAGCTTGACGGCAGGGCGGGGCAGGCCTGGGGCACTGGCCTGTCTGCCATGGTCACTTCCTGAGTCTAGCACTGTCACCTGCCTGCAGCTCAGGGTTCACTGGGGGGTTGGGGTTGGGGTGGCAAGGAGAGGTTCAGGCTGAGGAAGGGCTCTGATATTTGGAGCTGAAGATTCTGGGCCTTTTGCAGAATTCAGAGATTTGACCCATACAGCATGGAGATGAAGCCATGACAGGCCAGATCTGGCATGCAGATTCCAAATGCAAAGTGATTCCGTGGTACTGAGGAAGCAGCCCTGGGCTACGGGGGACAGCAAAAGGCTCCACAGAGGAGACAGAGGGTCCCTTCCATCACACGGCCTCTGAAGGCTGCCACAGGGCCCAGCCCCTATCTGCTGGGGGAATTTTGGTCTGTGGCCCATAAGATAAAAAAGTCCATGTGTGAGGGCAGTTCAGTCAAAGGAATCCCAAAAAGCGCCAGGTGTTTTATTGACCAAGGCCTTAAACACTAAATGGAGTTTGAGTTGAAGAAATAGCAGAAAGACAGAATCATGGGAAAGAGTGGTGTTTTCGGGGACACAGATACTAGTTGGTGTCATGGCCAGGATGGCAGACCATGAGGCTACCGAGGAAGCGGGGGTTGGAGGCCATGCTCAGGTGTTGATGTTGGGCAGTGGATGTTTTGAAGGAGGAGAGTATATTATCCAGCCAGGGTATTGGAAAGCCTACCTGCATGCCAGCGTAGAGGACCCACCATGGAGGAAGAGAGTGGAAGTGATTCTGGCCTCGGCGAGGAGAAGGGTGGACCAGGATTCTCCATAAGATGGTGGGGAAGGAAGAGAATAGGAAACTGAGTGGTGGTGCCAGGCAGGGCCAGGGTTTCCTCTGCTTATAAGCCTATGGGAATTGCAGCCTGGCCTGCCGGCCACAGCACTTGGGCTCCAGAGGGATTGCTGGGGCAGAAGCAGGCTTTGCAGGCTCCGTGTTGCCCATCCACAGCACAGGCCTCCCTATGTAGGAAGCTTTGACAGGCTGGCCACTGTCACTTGTTGCAGGACGAGATCATGAGCCTTGGCTGGAGCTTCTTGTTGGAGTTTCGGGTGGGATTCAACTCATGGGGACAGGAGCTGCTCTCCTTCTTCCCCTGATATGTCATGTGATAGTCCTGCCGCACCTAATCTTGACCCCCCGTGTGTCACTGGCTGTTAATCTCCAACTCTACTTTTCTGTGTTGCGTCCTTTCCGATTCACCCCTCCCCCAACATATTTGGCATTTTCACGGGTAGGTAAAGAGATTGAAGATGAAGGCAGGGCAGTGCCAAGACGCAGAGCACACCCCACACTATCCCAGAGCCGCAGCACCTGGCAGGCGCTCCTGGGCAGGCAGAGTCAGAAATGGGGTGCAGAGAAAGGGGCAGCCACACAGGCTAAGGCCCACGTGCCCTCGGAAAGAGCTTATCCTGGGGACTTGAGAAGAAAAGGAACCCCAGGTGAAGAAAGAAGGGAGCCCCTGCCTGTCTCAGCCAGAGGTACCATCTTAGCAAAGCTGCTGGAGAGAAGATGGGCCAAGAAGTAGGGATGAGAGGGATGGTATGCAGTAGGCAAGTGGCCAAGTGGGCTGCCCCTGCCCACAGCCCCAACGTCCAGGCCCAGCCCGATCCTGAGTGGCCGTAGACCTTGAGCAGGTCACTTCTCCTCACTGGCCTGGTTTCCACATGGTGGGCCTCTCTTTCTGGGGCCTTTCCTGCTCTGGGATCTGTGACTTGGGCTTTCCTGCAAGTCCACATAACTGAGGACAGTGGCCCACGTGGCTGCCATCAGGACAAGGTCCTTGGAGCTCACCGTGAGCAGAGTGACTGTCCCAGGCTTCGACAAGCCAGCTCACTGACATGCTTCCAGGGCCAGGTCTGGTTCTCTTCTCATTGTTTCTCGTGTTTCTTCTTCCAGGGAGAACGAGGCATGCCAGGAATGCCGGGCAAGCATGGAGCCAAGGTATCTGCCCCTCTCCACATCTCAGGCAACCCGGAGACCCCTCCCCCAGCACCCCCCTCTCTCTTCCCAGCTCTGGGAAACCCTGAAGTCCCAGCTCCCTATGCCTTCTCCTTCTTGCCTTGGCCCTATCCCCCCCCCCACAAGTGTCCACCCATGCCACTGTATAGTTTCTCATCAGTGCCCTTCTGTTGTGACCAGCCTCCTCCTGGATATCTCTGGGTCATAAACAACCTTCTCAGTCAGCCCAGCTCAGGCTACCATCCCAAGACCCAACTAAGGAGTCCCAAATCCCATCTCTGCTTGGGGTTTACTACATGGTGCTTTGGGCAGATGTGAAAAAGGGATTCACTCCCAGCCACTACTCAGTCTGAGGGCAGAGGTCCTGGGAGCTCCCTGTAAGAGTTATCCCAATTACACACGTGGGGGCAACTGTCCTTGGTAAGTCAGTCCCTCCACTGTGTCGTCTACTTTTCTTTCCTCCCTCATGGCTCTCCAGCCTCCTTCCCCTTCCCCTCTCACGCCCTCCTCTTCCTTTCATAGTCCAATGAAACTCCCTTCTACCTCAGGGACACCCCCTCTAGCCCCATCTACTGACCCACAGTCCCCACTGTGCCTCCCAGTAGATCCCGGGCGCTGGGCAGGTGGACGGGAAGCCCAGGGAATCCAGCGGGCTGGGCTGTACCACACCTCTTCCTCGGGCCCTCTCCTGTGCCCGGCTCAGTGCCCCACTTCCAGGGAAGGCAGGACAGGGTTGGGGCGGCAGACAGGAGTGAGCAGTCTTCCTTCACATCGCACCAAGGGGAGGCTAGCCACCTCCTCCATGCTGCCCTCTGACCGAAGAATGTCTTCAGGCCTTTTTCTCTCTGCCAGGGGGTTCCTGGAATCGCCGTGGCTGGGATGAAGGTCAGTTGTTTTTGTCACTCAACACATCAGGGGGCGGGAGGGATGGGAGAGATGGCACCCAGAGTTCACAGCTGGGGCTTTGCGGCTCAGTGGGGTAACCCCTGGACCCATGAAGGGGCAGACAGGATTTGGACTTAAAGTAACATTGATGCTGGGTGTACGCCCTGAGCCACAGATGTTTAAGTGAGCAGCAAAGGTTGTCCTGCCTCAACGGAGGGTCTCACTTGCCTGCCAATGTACAAAGAGACCTCAGATCTTTCCTCCACCCTCTGGAATTCAGTGACTGCACGCTTCCAAAGCGTCAGAAAGAAAAACAGGCATCCATCTCTTGAACCCCCACCCTAACATCCCACTTGGTTGGCGGCAGATGGGGGACAGCCTGGAAAAAACAAGTGCTCTATGTCAGTCTTCACAGCAGGTCCACACATGGAGCACCGTGTCCAGACCAAATGCCCTGCCTCCTGGGGTGCCTCAAATCTGCTGATACCTTCCACACCCCTCACCTTGGGGATGAATGGGCCCCTCTGAGGCCCAGCAGCCCAGCAAGCCGCCTTTGGCCAGGGACCTGATGGCTGAGCAGAGAAAAGCCAGGGCCGGCCGAATGTTTCACCGCCCCACCCTGGCCCCGGTGCCAGTGCCTCTGCCCATTCATTCCTGCTCTTTCTCTCTCACACCTGTTTCTGTACCTGAGTCTTCTCTTTTTCCACACAGGGTGAGCCGGGGACCCCAGGAGCCAAGGTACTGATGGAGAGAGAATGTTCCCATCGATCATGGGGCAGAGGTGGGAGGGGTTGCTGCTGTTTTGCTCTTGATCCCCGTGAGGCTGGCTCGGGGCTGGGGACCTGGCTGAGCATAGCAGGGCCCGCTTGTCAGGAGCACACTGCAAATGCCTCTCCTGCCTCTGGATCCTGGCCTGCGTGCATGTCAGCTATAGCCGCAGTGACTATTGTCCCCTGTACCTGCAGGGTCCTCTTTCTCCTTTGTCTAGGACAAAGAAAGAAGTGACATCAAAAAAAAGTTCCCATGGTCAAATAATTCTGAGAACAGGTTTCTTTGCTGCAGACCTTCTCAGAGCCTTTAATTTGCTAAATGTGCATAGAGCAGCTCTCAAAAGAAAATATTTTATGTGACATTTTCAAAACTTTTTTGGCAAGAACACCCCCCCCCCCTTTTTTTTAAGAGGAGGAGCTTATGGGACAAAAATTCTGGAAATGCTGGTCCATGATCACTGCCCATCCCATCCCTCAACCCCTCCATATCCTCTTATCAGTGACTTTCTCTTCTTACCTCAAAGGGAGTCCCAGGAGCAACAGGGAAGCCGGGGCCCCCAGGTTTGCTGGGAAAGAGGGGGCAGAGGGTAGGATATTGTGTATTTGAGTGTGTTCCCCCTCATCCTGGCCTCACTGGTCCTCCTCCCTGTCCCTGCTCCATGACTGGTGTGTTGCCTGCAGTGTGTCGTGGGTGCATGCGTCCCGGAAAGAGGGGAATGACAGGACGGCCTGGCCGAGCTTTGGAAACCCACACTCGAGAACACCCCCACTCTCCTGGGAAGGTTTGGTCACCTAGCAGAAAGCCCAACCAAGGGAGGAACCTGCCTTGTTCTGTAGCTGCTCCCCAGGGATCTCTAGAGGACAGGACCTATATCCTTTCCCTTTAGACCTGGCCTTTGTTGGGAGGATGCCCAGTCTAAGGCACGTACATAGGAGCAGACCAGACAAGGCAAGGTGGCTGGGCCTCCTTGGGACTTGTTCCCTTCCATGGCCAGGCCCCTGCCTGGTCCTCTGCAACCCCTGCTGGCCAGCTTCTGGCCACTTTACCACTCAGCCCCTGCCCAAGGAGATGACCCCCAAAGCCTGGGTGTGGCATCTTCTGTGGCTCTAGCCACAAAGTTCAATGAACATCTGCCCAAGTGACGGCCCCAGAGACCTCGGCTCTATTCTTATATTTGAGAACTGCTGCTCCTCGGGACCACGGAGGGTGGAGCTTCTCATGCCAACCTGATACTAACCCCCCGCTGGTGGGGCACTCTTGGGGTGCTCACTGATATTGGGCACAACTGTGGGCTGAATGTGTCCCCCTCCCCTAATTCCTACATTGAAACCCTGACCCCCAATGTGACTGTATTTACAAATAGGGTTTGGGGGAGGTAATCAAGGTGAAATGAGGTCATAAAGTTGGGATCCTAACCTGATGGATTGGTGGCTTTATAAGAAGAGGAAGAGGGACAGATCTTTCTGTCTGTCTGCCATGTGAGGACACAGCAACAGAGTAGTCGTCTCCAAGCCAGGAAGGGCGCCCTCACCAGTATCTGGCCATGCTGACACCCTTCCAGTCTCCAGACCCACGAGAAAATACACTTCTGCTGTTTCAGCCCCTCAGACTATAATGTTTTGTTATGGCCGCCCAAGCCAACTCAGAGAGAGAGTGTTCCCATCCATCATGGGGCAGAGGTGGGAGGGGTTGCTGCTGTTTTGCTCTTGATCCCCGTGAGGCTGGCTCGGGCCTGGGGACCTGGGTGAGCATAGCAGGGCCCACTTGTCAGGAGCACACTGCAAATGCCTCTCCTGCCTCTGGATCCTGGCTTGCGTGCTCTGTAAATGCGAAGTGACGCTTCTGTGTCCTAGAAGGTGGAACGTCAGGAGACACCAGGGTTCTACCCGGCTCTGTTGCTAACACAGTGAATGGTTGTCCACAAGTTGCGGAACCCCTTGGGGCTTTCCTTGCTAAACCTGTGAGATGAGGATGGGCTCAACTATCTCAAAGGGATTCTTTGATTCATGCCATGAGGGGGGAAAAAGAATAATTCAGTAGGGAGGGAAGCGGGTAAGGGAGGTGGGTTAGTTTTCTAGGGCTGCCATGGCTAAGTACCACAGGCTGGGTGGCCACAACAACAAATTCATTGTCTCACAGTTTTGGAAGCAAGGTGTTAGCAGGGTTGGATCCTTCTAAAGACTGTGAGAGTCTGTCCCAGGAGTCCCCCCTAACTGCTGGTGGTTGCTGGAGATCTTTGGTGTTCTTTGGCTTGTAGAAGCATCACCCCAATCTCTGTCTCCATCTTCACATGGTGACTCCCTGTCTGTGTGTCCGTGTCCAAATCCCCCTTCTGATAACAGCGTCTGCATATAGGATTAGGGGTGCACCCTACTCCAATATGACCTTATCTTAACTAATTTCATCTGCAATTACCCTATTTCCCAAGAAGTTCACATTCTGAGGGACCGGGGGTTGGGGTTGAATTGGGGAAACACAATTTAACCCATAACAGGAGCTAAACTTCTCAAAATATTCCTACAAAGGAAAAGTTCTGGTCAGCTGGGTTTTGTCATCCCTAGAGTCAGGGAGGAGGTGGGCGGAAAAGACTGGGCCTCTAGCTGTGAGACAGAACGTGGAGAAGGGCAGAATGCTGAAAAGGAAGTGCTCCTGGCATTCTGAAGTACTCTCCTTGCCCCAGGAGACTCCCAGAAGGGCCTAAATGCTGCCAGCCTTTCTTATGATCTTGAGCCCAGGAGTTCGAGACCAGCCTGGGCAACATAGAGAAACCTTGTCACTACACACAAAATAAAAATATTAGCCAGGCATGGGCTGGCACCCCCCTGTAGTCTCAGCTACTTGGGAGGCTGAGGCAGAAGGACCACCTGTGCCCAGAAGGCTGAGGCTGTGGGGAGCCATGATTATATCACTTCTCCCCTGTGGGAGTGATGAGGGCTCAGGCTGCATGGGAAAGAGAGGACCAGTCATGCTGGTCATCACCTAGAGTGACTCAGGGACATAGCCAGCCAGAATGGGGATCCTGGAGGAATCAGGGCCCTTCAGAGAACCTCCCAAGGAGGAGGCAGGGAGGCAGGAATGAGGAAAGGCAAGTGATCCTCCCTGAGCTGGTGGGGCTGGTGCCTTCCCAGACATCCTGGAGAAGCAGTTTCTAATCCCACACTGTCTGTGTCTCCCCGCAGGGTGAGAAAGGGGCTGCGGGCTCCCCTGGGCTACCCGGCCTCCTGGGGCAGAAGGTAGGTATCACCAAGCTCTCCATGGTGAGTCTTGTGGAAAGAGCTCAGGGTTCTTCCTCACCCACATCCCACGCCCAGCCCTTCACATCCACACAGGCTCCAGCATGAGTCCCTGTCCCAGACTGGGACAAAAGTACCTGGACCACAGCCAGAAGCTGTTGGTAGGGGGGGAAATTCCTGAATTCAAAGAATTCAGTCACTATGACCTGGTCAGATTCCTGTATACTGGCTCTGAAAGTATGCCGCACAGCCCATGAGCTCTGTGAGACATTTTATTAAAAAAAAAAAAAAAAAGGCACGGTGGGGGCAGACACAGAGGTTCATGTCTATAATCCCAACATTTAGGGTGGCTGAGGCTGGAGAATCACTTGAGCCCAGGAATTCGAGGCCAGCCTGGACAATACAGTGAGACCTCATCTCTACGCAAAATCAAAAAATTTCACTGTATTGCCCTGGACAGGTGTGGCAGACACCTATAGTCTCAGCTGCTGGGCAGACTGACATAGAAGAATCACCTGAGCCCAGGAGGTTGAGGCTGTAGTGAGCCATGATCATGCCACTGCATCCAACCTGGGCAACATATTGAGACCCCAACTCAAATATAAAATAAAATAAAATAAGACAAGATCAAATAAGTTTAGGTAGGGCTGCATCAGGCTTCTTGGAATGTCATAGTACACCCCAACCTATTAGGGGGTTCGAGCACCCTGCAGTGATAGAGCCGGCAAAGCTTCCTTTACTCTGCATTTCTTAACAGTGTTTGGCCACCAGATCTTCTTTTCACATTTCAGATATTCCCAACCCACTGAGGATTAGTCCACAGGACACACTTTGAGAAACACTGCTCCGGCCCCAGGTCTTTCAGCTCTAAGACTTTTCCCCTTCAGTAAACAGCTCCATTCTCTCCTCAAATCCCACTGCTGGATCAGACTAGGCTGGGGTTCTGAAATCCCCAGTCTCCAGGCATCCTGGAACCCATAGACTTTAGCATCCCTCCAGCACTCAGCCTAGACCGGAGGGCAACCTCCTCCTCCACTCCTCTGAGCTGTGAGGGGGAGGAGCAGAAGGCAAGGGGTGAGTCACCTCCTAGGGCTCGGTCCAATCAGGGATGGTGACTGTCCCTTCCATCCCCAGGGAGAGAAAGGCGATGCTGGTAACTCCATTGGAGGAGGCAGAGGGGAGTCCGGCCCCCCAGGGCTCCCTGGACTCCCAGGGCCAAAGGTGAGTCTTCCCTGGGATCAGTGTCAAGGGAGATGCTTGTCTGTGGCCTTTATCTGCAGCCTGTTCTTGGGGACTCATGTCTTGGGCATTTTGGCCTCTCTAGTTTCCTCCTGCTCCAGATGTGTGATTTTCCCCAGTGGATTCTAGAAGGTCATCTGGACACAACTCCTGCTCCCCAGCAGGCAACTGTCTGGCCTTCCAGGAGAGATGTCTTCCCTGGGGCAGATGGGTGGTCCCGTCATTTCAGATGGCTGATGGAACTGAGTCAGGGGCCAATGGCTGCAGCAGCTTGGGCAGAAACGCCCACCTTGGCTCTGAGAAGGTTGTAGGAGAATGACCAGTTGAGCCCCACCTGGTAGTGGCACACCTGGTAGGGGGAGGGTGGCAGTGGTGGGGGCAGCTGAGCATGGGAACTGGGCTCTCTTTCTGTTTGTAAAGTGCAATAGTAAGATTTGCGTTTCCCAAAGCAGATGCCTCTGGGGTTGCTTGGTGCATTTTAGTAGCCCAAGGAAACGCACAAGAAAATGTGAACTCTTTCCTAGCTCAAAAGGAAAGTGTGAAATTGATTCCACGTTATCTGAGGCGGTACACGCATACATTCCACCAGTGTTTATCCAAGGCTTGCCATGGGTTCGGGACTGCAGAGAACCTTTCTGGCTCCTTCACAGTCTAGCAGGATAAACACACTTTCCATTCACAGATGTGGAGTACAGGGAGCCACAGACACCATGGAGGCAGGCAGGATGAGGTGACAGGAAGGGGCTCTGGCTAAGCCCACGCCCACCCTGACTGTGACTAGAAGAGAAAGGCCGCCCTGGCATCCAGGCTCCAGGACATCCCAGGGCTGGAGTTTATCCCGCTGGCCATGCAGGCCACAAGTACCTGGCACATTTTATGTCTTGATTTGGGGTTGGAGAAACCTGGTCACTATCGACCTGTGTCTTTAGACAAAAGCCAGGGAAAGTCAGAAGACTGTGCTCCCAAGCTCATGTCAACACCAGCTGCAGGCACAATGTTTAGCTGGTGAAATATTTGCAATGGGCCACCTCCTATCTCTCCCTGCACCTTCCATCTTAGTCTCCTGGGGCCCTCCGCACAGTTGCCCAGTGACTTCACCCTCGACCCTGCCCCCGTAGCAGAACCCGAGGAAGCACCTTTTCAAGTGTGCCAGGCTCCAAGTTACCTGCCTCCCTGTAGTCAGGGGTGATGGCAACCCATAGTCCAGCTGAGAGTGGCAACAGAATGGGGCGTGTGAGGACTGATCAAGAACCAGGAGGGCTGGGCAGGGCAGCTGGACACCAGTGAAGGTTGCAGAAAGCAGGAGACAGGCAGGGCTTCCCGAGGAGGTGAGGCCCAGACTGGGCCCAAAGGTGGAGTCAGGTGGGAGGATGGAAGGCTGTAGAAGCCAGGGGGAAGGAGAGGTCTGTGAACAACACCCAGAAAACAAACAGCAAGACCATCTTTTGCCTCTTAAGCAGCTGTCCAAGCTGCCCTCTGTGCCCTCACCCCACGTCTCTCCTCTTCCCCAGGGAGAAGCAGGAGTCAATGGCCACACTGGGCCCCCAGGACGGCAAGGAGACAAGGTACAAGGGGTCCCCCACATCCCAGAGCTGCAGGATGGGGGTCAGTTTTGGGAGGTCAAGTCCCAGCTCAGAGAAATAGTCTCGGCCATCCCTAGGGCTGGACCCAGGGCACAGGCTGACCGACTGTGACCCGTGGCTTCCCTATTTCCTACTAGGCTTGTGCTTTAGAGAGCCATCCACTGAAGCAGTGGTCGGTTAGAAACCGGCCCAGGGGTGGGAGGCTCAAGCAGGGGAGTGATACAGAGCCTTCCAAGCCAGTGATTAAGGTGGGCTATCGCTCCCCTTCAGCTACACCCTTGAAAGGCCCTTGTGTCGCTCACAGGTACACAGTGACTGAAACACTGTAGGGGTGGGGAGTAGAGGGTAATTACCTGGAGGTGACACTGGCTCCCCACTCTTCAAGCTGGTCAGCTGCAGGGTAGTCAGGTGTTCGATCAAACAGATCCAGGTGTTCCTGGATTTTTACTTTCCATCTTAATTTTTTAAAATTATCTTCAGTGTGAGGATACCCCAGAAAAACCAGAACTGTGGTTTGTTTTTCATAATTGACACCACTGTTTCACTTACTCCCTGTGGTGCTATCCTGCTTGCAATAGAAACAAATCCCTCCTGCCACCCACTCTGAGAGGTTGGATGTCTCATATACCTGTGTCCTTCTAATGCCTAATGCCTAAAGACCGGGTAGTTTGGGTCTTTCACAAGCAGAAGGGGCCCTAAAAGAACCACCAGGTTCTCCACTGGCAAAAAGCTGCTGAGCCCTTAATGCCTGTACAGAATGGAAATAAAGAGAAGGGAAGGTTCTTGTTCCCAAGGAGGCAGCTGACTTTAGGGACTGGGGAAAGGTGGCCAGAGGGACAAAGGGCAGACACTAACCACTAACACAGAACAGAAAGACTATCACTGAGGGTCAGGCACAGTGGCTCACACCTATAATCCCAACACTTTGTGAGACTCTGGCAGGAGAATTGCTTGAGGCCAGGAGTTTGAAATCAGTGTGGACAACATAGTGAGACTCCATCTCTATGAAAACTTTTTAAAAATTAGCTGGGTGTGGTGTGCACCTGTAGTCCCAGCTACTCAGGAGGCTGAGGCAGGAGGATCCCTTGAGTCCAGGAGTTCAAGGCTGCAGAGAACTACAATCACACCACTGCACTCCAGCCTGGGTGACAGAGGGTGACCCTGTCTCTAAAAAAATAAGAATATCACTGAGTTTGAAGTGAGAGGGAGCCCTGAGGAACTCACAGGGAGAGAGGACTGTGGGCTGGTATTCAGGGGATGTCTCTTGAAGGGGCAGAACCCACGCTTTGATGGACAGCGAGGTCTGTGTCCTGTTGGCTTGAACTAAGATAAGCCTCCTGGTCCTCTCCAGGTCCCTAACACATGGCCCATCTGGGGACCAACTTTATCTTGATTTCGCTCCTATTTTGTCATGCAACAGGGGGAGCCCGGAGCAGCTGGAGAGCAGGGACCAGCCGGCCCCAAGGTATGTGCCTCTCTCACCTGGAGTCCCTGCATGAAGCGGCTTGATCTTGGGGGTCTTGATAGCTTATAAAGGGATGAGCATTCTGGCTCCAGGTAGGATATCTGATGTGGCATGGTGAGTGGACTCCATCTTCTCCAGATCCATGTGGCCCAGACTTCTCAGATGGGGTCTTCTCCATTTTTTCTGCGACCCCGAGCATCCTTCAGCAGTGTCTGGAATCTCTGATAGATCACCTCCGGCTGTTCTGGGTCCACCTGTGTGAAGCTGGGTGCAGCCACTGGTGGCTGTGCTCCCCTCCCCATTTGTTAAAGACCCTCAGGTCCCTCCTGGTTCAGGCCCTGGGCTGAGATCTCATTTGCTTTCCAGGGCTCCAAGGGAGAACCAGGGAAAGGAGAGATGGTAGATTACAATGGAAACATCAACGAAGCTCTCCAGGTGAGTGGGGTCCAGCCCAGAGACTAGAGATCTAGAGGTCCTCGTGGACCTCAGGGCCCCGCACCCCTGCCCTGATGAGGGAGCTCTTCTACAGTGCTGAGTAGAGGACCTGCCTCAGGTCACAGGACAGAGCTTCCAAGAGCCTGGCTCCCTTGTTTTCTCTCCGTTGGCCTCCCCCTGTGCAACCTCCTGGCAAGTGGCCTCTGATATTTGGTATCCAGCTGGCCGGACTCCCTGTCTGAAGTTATCCCTGCTCTTGGATCTAAGAGCCTCAGTGGAATCTCCCGGCACCCGGCGGGGAGCTGGCCTGTCCAGGGCTCAGGACCCACTTATTAAGTGCATGCCTACTCCCCTTTCACATGGCAGACCTGTCCTCCTGGAACGCACCTCCTGTTTGTGTCAGTTCAACCCTATTTCAAGTTCACAAACTCTCCACCTTTCGAGCAGGGTTTCTCAGCCTTGGCACTATTGCCATGTTGGGCCAGATGATCTTTGTTGTGGGAAGGCTCTCCTATGCATCCTAGGATGTTTAGAAGCATCCCTGGTCTCTACCCATTAGATGCTGACAGCACTCTGCCCTCAGCTGTGACAATCAAAGTATGTCTTTAGACACAACCAAATGTCCCCTGGGGGACAAACTCCTCCCAGGTTGAGAACCACTCCTTCTGTGTATGTGTGTGAATTCATTTACAAGATGCAAAATTCTTTTTTTACAACCAAAAATCATCCCTCGAACCCATTTTGGGTGATTGTGTATTTTGCTACAGTGTGTCTGTTTAAGGGAGGTGCTTTGAAACCTTGAAATCTGGGTCCTGGGAGAAGAGGAAAGAACAAGGGAGGATCCTCAGTGGGTGATCAGAAGGAATAAGAGGTGTTGCTTCCTTCCCTTCTGTAATAACTGGAGGAAAGGTTGCAGTTCATTTTAGGGTGTGCCTGACTCCACTGTAGGACAGCCTCGGAGCGTCATTGTCTTATGAGATGCAGCATGCTCCCTGACCTGTGATTGCAAACCTCTGGGAGGGGTGGGGCTGGGGGCATGGGACTGGGAGACATGGAGTCCACCTGTGAGGGTTTACCTCCGCCTGTGCTCTTCGAGAGGTTCAGCTCTCACCTTTCCATGACTGGGCGGAGAGGACCTTCCAGAAGGCTCTCAGTATGATCTTCACCTCATTGCATTTTATGTTGGTTTTTTTAGGAGATACGAACGCTGGCGCTGATGGTGAGTCTTCCTCCTCCTTGCTTTCCTCGGGTACTGGGCTGGGAGAAGGAGAAGGCAGCCTGGAGGCAAGGAATTGAGTTCTTTCCTCCCCAGAAAGCAGACGCTGGGTTCTAGGTTAGGACTGACCCATCAGTGCTGGGGCAGAGAGTGTCTGAGCCCAGTAAGAGGGGTCAGGATTGGTGCTGGGCCTCTGGAGCTGCGTGTGCCCTGGGTATGGCTGTTCTCTGAGTATGAGCTCTTCACCAACCCAGCTGTACACTCTGGTGACAGTATAAATGCCTGGCTCTATTTATAGCTGAGTCAAGGAAGCAGTAGTATTAAGGAGAGTGTTTTTATGTTTCTTTTCACCCAACCTTCAGCTAATAAAATCCATTATCCTGAAAAATTAGTAGCAACCCTCCACAGTTCTCCCTTTCCTGGAAATAAATTTCATGATCTGCACTTGGAAAGCCAATGAATCGCAAGCCCAGGTTTTGTGCATGTGCCTACCAGTGACAAACTCTCAGTAAATATCTGTAGTTAAAATGACCACCTCCAAGTTTAACTTCTAAGGTGAAGAGCAGAGGAGAGATCATGAGGTTCTCAGTCTACTGGAATTTCAATTCAGCTAAATGTGTATGTGTGTGTGTGTGTGTGTGTGTGTGTGTGTGTGTAGCTATGAACCACAAAACACACTTAAGAATGATACAATCTCAGAATCTAACACCACTCATATGACGCCCCAATCCCAGAAATTGATGTCAGTGATGTGATACTGTGAAATCAATGAACTTTATTTGGGGGTGTTATAATATATTATTTGAAATAGCTACTGGAAATAAGCATGGAAATACACTTTCCTGGAAGTATTTTTTTCTTTAAATCAACCTTGAGGTATAACTTACGTGCAATAAAAGGTGCTTATTTTAAGTGCTGATATTGAATAGTTTTGATAAATGTACATACCCAAGTATCTACCACCCCAGTCACTCCAGAAAGTTTTTACATGCATCTTGGGAGTCACTCCCATACTCACCTGCAGCCCCGGGCCACCACTGATCTGCTTTCTATCACTGCAGATTAGATTTGTCTTTTCTAGAGTCTCATGCAAGTGAAACCCCACAATATGTAGTCCTCTGTGTCTGGCTGCATTTGCTCAGCATAGTGTATTTAAGACTCATCCATGTCACTGTATGTGTCAGTCAGTCCTGGATTCTTTTTCCCTGCTAAGTAATATTCCATTGTAGGGTGGGAAAGCCCCTGTTGGTGGGCATCTGGGTTGTTTCCTGGAGACGTTTTAAAGTCATTTTCTGAGAAGGTCAGAAGTACTGTCTTGGAACCCAAAGAGCCCTGAGTGCCCTAGAGAGAAAGGGAGGGAGAGGGTATAAGCACAGCTCTAGGACCCCACCCCTCACTTAACCCAGACACAATCAGAGTATATCTGTCTTGCATTTTGGGGTTCCCCATGTTATTTTCTTTGCAAAAAAAAGTGTTTCTACCCTGAAGAAATGTTTGAAAACAAGGGATCTCTATAAGCCAGCTTCACATGCAGCTCTCTGGTGATATGCCACCCATCCTCGGTGGGAAAGTTCTTCCATATGTCTTTCCTTTCTTTCCTAGGGGCCTCCTGGTCTTCCTGGACAAATAGGCCCACCTGGAGCTCCGGGGGTTCCAGGCCAGAAGGTAAATCTTGTCTTGACAAGGGAGTGAAAACCCTGCAAGGACACCACCTGTGTCCCTGAGCACATGACCCCGGGGACCCTCCTTGTCCTGGGACCCTCTCGTCTTTCCAGAACCACCACCATATCCTCCTGGTGCTCCAGGGCCTAGCCTGCCCACCTCACAGCCACTGTGCTCCTCTCAGTCACTGTGGCTCTGCCATCTCCCCCTGCCATCTGTCTTGGGCTCCTGGAATCCACAGGACCCTCTGCTGTGGTTAGGTCTGGGTCTAGATACATCTCTGTCCCTGCCCCAACCAGAGCCATTGTTGGAACCCAAGCTGCCCATCAGGGACCACGGATTGGAGATCTGCTCCAATTTTGTCCCTCCCTCATTCCCTGCTTTTGCATTCCTTCTGTATCCCACCCACCCACTCTTGGGTTTTTTCTCTGAAGATTTATCCCCTCATTCTCATGTCTGCCTCCTCTGCCCTCTACTCCTAGACTCCTCTGCAGGTCTCTTTCCCTCTTCCTTATTCTTTCAAAACCCTTCCCATCTTTCAAGTACAACTCAAAGGCTACCTCCTTGAAGCCTCCCCTGATCTATCAAGCAAAATTCATTTCCCTTTCCCCTCTGTTCCTCTGGGTAGCACCTATATCATTTTGCCTCCCTAACTCCCTCCCTGACCTAAAGAAGGGACTTGGATTGGTATAAAGATGAAGGGAGCTCCCTGGGGGCAGCCAGGAGAGGAGAGCTGTGTCCAGAGGAGATAGTAAGGCAAGAACCCCTCTCCAGTGGAACTATGAGGGGCCAAGAGTTCTCAGAGGCAGCATGCAAGGTTGTATCTAAAACATGGACTGTGGAACCGGAATATCTGGACTCATATCCTGGCTCTCCTCTTCACTGACTGTGGGCCTCGGGCACACAGCTCTGTGCCTTGAGATCCTTACCTGTAAAAGAGAGACAATGCAAGGACATACCTCCCAGGAACCAGTGAGAATTACATGAGCAAACTCTATGGGAAAGCGCAGAGAGAGATGCCTGGGGCGATTATTCTTATCATGGCCCTGAGAATCACCTTTGGTTGTTCTGGCTACAGGGGGAGATTGGACTGCCAGGCCCTCCAGGACACGATGGGGAAAAGGTAGGATCATGTATCCTCCAGGCAAATCTCTGAAAATGGGCCTAACCCTGGGATGTGGGGCAGAAAGGCTCTGGAACAGGTCCTGGGGTGAGCCCCATGGAGAAGGGAGAAGGGGAGGTGAGGAGAGGGCCCCACCCTGCAGGCCCTGGGGGCTAGGCAGACCCAGGCTGGGCTCTCTTTGCCTGCCCTAGTCAAGGGTCAAAGGGCCAAGACCTTTGGAGAGCCCATTCTCTCCTGTTCTTGCTCTTCTTTTCATCCACTAATGTGTCTAAGAAGTGTTGTTGATATTCTGAAGGGACCTCGAGGCAAATCAGGAGACATGGGTCCCCCTGGGCCCCAAGGACCCCCAGGAAAGGATGGACCTCCAGGAATGAAGGGAGAAAATGGACACCCGGGGAGCTCAGGAGAGAAGGGAGAGAAAGGGGAGATGGGACAAGCAGGCTCGCCGGTGAGTGAGTGGCCGGGCCGGTACCCTCCTGTGCATATACCACCCCCAAGCATGACGCCAGCTTTGCATGGTGCCAGCTGCTGCCTGGGCTAGAAAATAGGGGCCAAGAATTGGGGCAAAGGATTCACGCAGCTTACCCTCACGCCACTGGCTTTATGAAGGCCAGTTTCCCAACTCAGGAGACCTGAGTCTTGTTCTCTCATTGCCTGTGTCCTTGGGAAAGTCACTGAACCTTGAAGAGCCTCAGTTTACTCATCTCTAAAATGGGGATAATAATCCCTTCCCTGGATACCTCACTCAATCATTGGGAAGGAGAGGAAGTCACAGGTGTAGAGCTGCCTCCTTGGAAAGCATGCCAAAGCCCTGTACTCAGGAGAGGATGCATGTACAGAGGAGGGACCTTAGCCCACTTCAGCTAGACCGCTGACTTGACTTGGAGCCTTCTCTGGACCTCAGTAGTTTCCATCTGTGGAATGGGCACCTTCCTAGATACCCACTCTGAGAGCAAGGGAGCCATGTGTGCATGCCACGTTGGGTCACGGACGCTCAGCATGACAACCTCGACCTTGACTAACAGCGATCTTTGTCGATCTGTAGGGTCTAGACGGCCCCACTGGGGAGAAAGGAGAACCAGGTGGCCAAGGCAGACCCGGAGCAACAGGATTGCCTGGCCCAATTGGGCTCCCGGGATTTACAGTAAGGCGAGAGGGCTGGGTGTCAAGGTTGTCACACAGGGGGCAGCGGTGCTCCACATGGGGCCGCCAGTCTAGAGGGTGCCTGGCATTGCAACGAGGCTGCTCTAACCCGAGCCTGTCCACCCGGCCTGGGACGTCCCCTTGATGAGCAGCTACTGCACTTGACTGTAAACAGAGGTTCCAGCTTCCTGATCTTGCAGCATGGTGGCTTTTGTCTTGAAGCACCAACCTAATTCAAAGGCGCTGGGATCTGGAACTCAGAAAGTAGAAAGAGCTCAGAGGTCAACCAGTCCCAAGTCTGACCCAGTGCAAGGGTTGCTCACTCAGCCAAGACAGTGGGCAACTCACGCCCCAACCCCGACACATCCATCGTGGGCAGCTCCAGGAGGGAGGGAGCACTCCTGGACATGGTGTGGAAGCTTCTATGTCAGCCCCTCCTACTGGCCCCACAGAGGTTCTGGGCTCTGGAACCATATTCCTTTTCTACGGCTGCATAACAAATCCCTGCAAAGTTAGTGGCCTAAAACAACACACATTCATTGTCGCATCGTTTCTATAGGTCAAGAGTTGAGGCCCATGTAGTTGGGTCCCTTGCCCAGGGTCTCACGAGGCTGCAACTAAGATATCAGCTGACTGCATTCTCATCTGGAACCCGGGGTCCTCTTCTAAGCTCACTGACTGGGGCAGAATTTAGTTCCTTGCTATAGTAGTACAGAGTCCCTCAGCTCCTGGAGGCCACCTATGGCTCCTTGTCACATGACCCTCCCCCTAGCAGGCAGTTTAAATGATAGCAGCTGACTTCTTCAAGGTCAAGGTCAGCAGGAGGGTGTCTCCAGTGTCTAGTGCTAACGAGACAGTTGTGTGTGTTTGTGCGTGTGTGGCGTACTTGTAATGTAATCTGAACATATGTTATATCTGTTTGACATACTTATGTTGTCATGTGTAGCATATTTACAGAGTGACATCTCACCAGCTTTGCCACATGTCTTCCTTCATAACTTACAAACAAGTCACAGGTCATCCCAGAATCTGTCCACTACAGAGGCCATAGCGTTTATCAGCCTCTCCTCCCCCATGCTAGAACCTTGGATCTCAAAGACAGTGATGCTAGCGCCTGTTCAGTCTTCTGTCCTGCGGGCTGACCCCTCCACGTCCTCCACGAGATCCCTTGCTAACACCTAAACCAGTTGAGTCCCAGTCTAGTCTGTCACAGATGTGAGGAAGTGTCTGTACCCAGGCTTCCCCACGGGCTGGCATTCACACCGTGGTGTTTTGTGTCCACAGGGAGAGAAAGGAGAACCTGGGGAGAAGGGGGACCTGGGAGCGGAGGTAGGTCCCACTGCTTTTCCTTTTGTGTCATGGGAGATTATTTGACAGAGGCCTCATTGAACAACAGGGTCTGCAGGATGCACAGCATTTCTGTGCTTTGGAATGACATCTGCAACTGCCTGACATGGGGCGGGCAGGAAGCCAAGTGTTTACTGAGCACCACTGTGGGAGGGGACTGCTCCAGTCTCCTGTCACCAGGGCTCCCAGCGTCTGCACAGAGCACCTCCATGCTTCTGTCCTGTTGCTAGGGTCTGGAGGTAGGAAAATAAACAGAACCGTCCGTCTGTGGCTCACAACCCCTGGTCATGAGTACCAGAGTGGCGGCAGTTCAGGGAATCAAATGAGCACCCCTAAACATGTGCCATTTGGGCAGGGGCTTGGCAATGTTGTAGAAGTTTGCCGCAAAGCTTCTAAGGTAGGCTTTCCGGATAGAGGCCTTATTCTTTCGGGGAGTGTGGTAACGAAGGGAATAGAAAAGAAGATGGCTGAGTGAGAAAATAGTCAGGATGGTGGCAGAGTTTCCATAAGACAGGGTAGAATTAGGCATATGTGTAGGCTCAGGAGATGCACCAGGAAAACAGCCGCAGTCAAGGACACATGAGGGAGGTGATGTCTGAAGGCAGGGTCTGGGCAGCCCAGACACCCTCTCAGAGCCACGTGAGAGGACACCAAGCCTTCTCAGTACCCAGCAGGGTTCCCTGGGGCCTGTCAGCCTTTCAAGTCACCAAGCTCCATCTGAATTTAGTAAAATAGACCTGGTTATGTAATGTGTATGTTACTTGTTTAGAAATGGATAGCTGCTTGAAGAAATGATCCTAAATTCCAAAGCAGCATCTAGAAGTATTTGAAGTAGAAACTGGAAACAGCCTACATTTCTAACAGGAAGGAGAGGACTAAATACCTATGGCAGAAATACTAGTAGTCATACTAGTCACCATATCTGAGAGCTTTCCTTGTGCCAAGCACTGACTGAGCCCTGACTATACTTTCAGCCAGGCGTGGTGGCTAATGCCTGTAATCTTGGCACTGTGGGAGGCTGAGGCAGGAAGAGTGCTTGAACCCAGGAGTTCAAGACCAGTCTGGCCAGCGTGGTGAGACGTCATCTCTACAAAACATCAAAAAATTAGCTGGGTGTAGTGGCATGTGCATATAGTCCGAGCTACTCGAGAGGCTGAGGTGGAAGGATCGTCAGAGCTCAGGAGATCGAGGCTGGGGTATGCAGTGATCATGCCACTGCACTTCAGCCTGGATGACAGAGTGAGACCGCAACTCAAAAATTAATAATAGCAACTCATTTTCATTCCATTCAATGAATAACATATCACCATTATAAAGAGGCTAGTGGAGAATGTATAAAAAATGGAGAAATGGGTTTCATGTTAAGTGAAAACAGAAAACCATATATATGTATATGTATATAAAATCATAAGTAGATATGTGTGTATGTGTATATATGTGTATATGTCTATATAATATCAAAAGTATAGACATGTTCGAACATATTTTATACTTCAAAAAGGTGTTTAAATATTTCTTTAAAAAAATTTTTTTTTTTGAGTTGGAGTCTCACTCTGTCACCCAGACTGGAGTGCAGTGGCCGCTCCCGGCCCCCGCAGCCTCGACCTGCTGGGCTCCGGCGATCCTTCCGCCTCAGCCTTCCAAGTAGCTGGAACTACAGGTGCGCGCTACCACGCCCAGCTAATTTTTTATTTATTGTAGAGATAAGGTCTCACCAAGTTGCCCAGGCAGGTCTCAAACCCACGGGCTCAGACAATCCACTCACCTCAGCCTCCCAAAGGCGCGGTCTTTTTTAAATTTTTAAAGGTAAAGTTATCACACAGGTAAAATTTGACTTCTCAGGGGTGTTCACGGCTCTGTGAGTTGTCATACATACTAGCTGACACTCCACTACACAATAGATTTGTATAACCACTGCCATGATCAGATACATGATAATTATTTATAGTAAGAATAAAACAATAAGCTATTTTTTAAGAGGGTAGAGTTACCAAAGATTATGTTCCCTGCAATGAAACCATTATGGAGCTGAGAAATCCACAGGTCCAGGGGAAAGAGGGCCACTTCAAGTATAACAGGGCTCCCCTTTGGCTTCTAGGTTCCTGGACCACCAGGGCCGGAAGGACCTCCCGGACCTCCGGTAAGTTTAGAGAGCTTGTCAGTGGTCTACTATGGTCGGGTCCCTAATGTCCCCTCCCCATGGCAGTCACTGGGCTCCACCTCAGCCTTAGTCACTATCTCCTCCTCCTCCCAGGGAGGGATTTTTTTTCATCCACAAACTCCCCCTTTCTCCTCTTCCCTCCCATGTTAAGCGGCACCATCCCAGTGACACCAAGAAGCCATAGTTTTGCCTGGTTCCCTGGAAATAGCTGACTGACATGGCAGCTCTGAGATCCCTTGTCACCAAGCTCTGCCCAACATTGACTTCACCCTTGGCCATCAGACATCTGCTCCTCCCCTCCCTCCTTCCTGCTAACCAGCTGGCAAGAAGCCAGGATTAAAATAGGAAGTGACCCATCTAAAGCCAGCTCCACTGACTTGACCTTTCCTTGGTTACAGAAATGTAACTATGGGACTCCCTGCATGGCACCTAGAGGGATCCCAGGTACCCTGAACCAACAAATGTTGATCCATGCCTCTACATGATTCATGGTCCCCAGGGCACTGTGTGTCACCTGTTGTCATTGGTAGAAGCAGTCATAGCAATAATGATCGTAGGCCGTATATATTGACAGTTACAGTGCTACACACTGTCCTAAGCACTCTTCATATGTTAATTTAATTTTTGCTGTGTTACTTTTGAATTTTCCCTTCATGAGACCCTGGGTCAACTGTGGGGGCCACGGAGATATTTTCTGTCAGCTCCTGACTGGGGAAGTCTGGCTCAGACTCCATCCTAGAAAGCCCCAAATACAACCCCTCCCTCCTTGGCATTCCCTTTTACCTCTCATGATGGGGACCCCAAACCACAGTCTGCACCCAAAGTCCTTTTTCTGTGGTCCAACTTGTTCTCAGTTCTAATGCACCTGTTTTGATTCCAAATGCAGGGGCTCCAAGGCATTCCTGGACCAAAGGTAAGGAGATGTCCTGTGACAGGTGCTGGGGAGGGCCTGCTCGGTGACAACAGAAAAAAGGGAGAGTGTGTTAGAGACCCAGCTGACTCTTTTCCCTAAATGGCATCATATGACACTCCAGTCACTGGGGTCTGATCAGGGTTAAATGAATTCCTACATTCCCTTTAACATCCGGCATTGACACCTGGAGTATTTTGGATCCAGAATTTTCCCATCCATTGACCCCACAAATGGACAAGTTAGATGCTTAGCAAATGGTGAAATCCTTTTCCCTTTGAACCCACTCCAGACCCTTCACTCACTCTAAGTATGGGTGGAAGAGAGACAGTGACTTAACGTGGGTTAGGTGCCCACTGGATTTTGGCCTGGGGCTTTCCAGTCTCTGCCCAAGCATTTCAAATGAATGAGTTGGAGGGTTGGAGGCTGCTGGCATGACAAGGGCCCTTGCCTCCTGCCCAGGCATTCTTCAGAGGACTTTAATGGTGGTATTTTAGGCACCCTCCAGCAAATCTCTGAAAGGTCCCCATTTCCTGTCATGTAGATGGACACCTATGCCAAAGCCTGACATGAATCTGCCCTATGGGTTTGTCCCCACTCCAACTATCCCTTTTCCCTTGGCTGCCCTCAGAGTGCCTGCAAGGATACTTGGGATTCTTACTGAGGCAGAGGCAGGCAAAGAATTCAGGGATTCTTAGAGTCCCCAGCCTGCCACTCCTAGCCCAGTCACCTCCACCTCCTCTGCAAACCCCACTCCAGATTCCACGACCCCAGAATGCAAGAATGAGTTGTCTGGGACATGCTGTTCTGTGATCTTGTTCCCTCTCCCTTTCCTCCAGGGGGAAGCAGGACTAGATGGCGCAAAAGGAGAGAAGGGCGTCCAGGGGGAAAAAGGAGACCGAGGTCCCCTGGGACTGCCCGTAAGTATCTTGGACCCAGAGCAATCGGTGAGGAGCCCAGCTGGGTGTCCTGATAGGCCAGGGGTGCTGGGCCCGGATCCGGGAGATAGCAGCTGAGAAGTTCCGGGTTCTTAAGTCTGAGCACCCAGAGTTCCACGTGACTTTGCTCTCTCACCTGGGCAAAACCATAGGCCTCTGGAAGGCCTCTCCTTGGTGTCCAGGGAATGCAAAGCTGAGTAGACAGGCTCTTCCGAGGGGCACCCAACTGGAGGGTGAGAAGTGGTCTGAGAACAGCCCAGGCCCTGCCTGTCCCTGATTCTGGGGCAGTAATAGCCTGCACCTTGTGGAGGCCAAGCTGGAGGGCTCGGGAGGAGTGGAACAGTGGGGTGCTCTCTGTCTCTCTCCTATTACATCAGAGGGGCCCCAAGAGAACTCCTGCTCTCTTAAGCACTAGCCACACCAGAAAAGCACAGAAAAAGTGCCATTCTGCCGTACCAGCAGGCTAGGACTACTCATCTCCAGAGTTCCTGGAGATCTCTGACCTCAGTCTGCCCGGGGCTAGAGGCCTCTGGTCAGAGGTGAGGAACTGCTCAGAAAGCATTCAGAGTTCCTGATGTGGGGGCTGGCTGGGGGAACCCCTTTGCTCCAAGCTCCAGTGGGCTGATGGCCTCCTGTCTGCCTCACCTATGTCCAGGTAAGTGTATGTCACCACCTGCCTTGGACCAGGCTGCATCCCACCCTTCACACCCTGCTGAGGCAGGTGCTCTTTTGGTTGGTTTTCCAAGCGCTGGAAGGGATGTTTGCATTCTGTCTCATCATTTCATTGGTGGTCCCGGAGAAGAAAGTGAGTCACTTGAGGTCACATATGAATTTGGTGGCCAGGTCAGAGGCTTCTCCTCCACAGAAGCCACAGTCTTGCAAAGGGGCTCCCTCCAGTCATGCAGCCTTCTTCTGTCCCTGGCTCAAGGCCTGTTCCCACCCCAGGTAGTGGTAAAAGAGCAGGGGACACAATGGGAAGCCAATTATCCCAGCTTGGCAGAGCTTGGGGTCCCGGTTAATGTAATCACAGCAACCTAACAGCAAAAGCAAACAGTGTAATGACACCCTCATAATACATCAGGTATAGGAACTCATTTGCCTGACAGACTTCAGAAAACTGATGACTTCTGCAGACATTTTCCCATGTCATAAGCTGAGTCTGGAATGATTAAGTATTCCTACTATTAGAGAGCCTTCCTGTCCCACTCAACCACAAACCTTTCCTTGTCTACGTTCATGGCCTCAATAGCCCTAGAGAACATTGAGGAATTCAGTCAGAGGTTGACATGCAAAAGGTACAGAGACCAAACAGGTAATACAAACAAAGAAAGTGCCAGATGAAAGACAAAGATCATGAATGTTCCACCTTTTGATAGAGACATGATACAGACAAATACTTTTTCTAGGCTAAGAAAACAACAGAACAAGCATATTCATAGAAGGCAACTAACATGGACTTGAAGGAACAGTAGGGAGTGGGGGACTATAGTATGCTAGAGGCCATGTATCCCTTCTTAAGGGAAGCAGCCCCTTCTCAGTTTGACTGACTGTTGCCTTGGAGGAAGGAGGGTCTGATATCGCTAGATCTTCCCATTTCGAAGAAAGCTGAACATCTGGTGTTTTATGTGAAATCTCTCCATTTTCTAACAGTAGATCAAAATTATTTGCAAAGCTGCACACCATACAAAATGTGTCAGTGGCCCGCATATGGCCCGCAAGCCTCTAATTTGTGCCTTCTGCTCCAGACCTCCCAAGGCTACTTAGTTTAAATGCTGCATAGAAAAAGTAGGTAGATATTTAGAGGCAGTTCTGTCTTCAAGCTTCTCTTATATTTCATTCTACATAGTAGCAGTTGTTTTTTCTGTGGAGTTCACCCTATTTGCCCTACAGAAGTGGTTCTCAGGGACTGGAATCACCTGGGAGCTTTTCAAACATACCATTCACTGGGCCACACTCTTGGAGACTCTGAGTGAATTGGGCTGGGGTGTGACCTGGCCCTTGTACTATTTCACATCACCCCAGGAGATTCTAATGTGAGGCCAGAATTGAGAGCCACAGCTCTCTAGCCGGGTGAGTCAAGATCAGCCCCAGAATTGTGTGGTCCTAAAACTGAGAACAGGAGGAAGCAGCTCCTTGCCTTCCCTCTTATAGGGGCTTTCCCCCACCTTTGCAAACCTAAGGCTGAGGCTCAACTGGAAGCAGTTTTCAATAACTCAGTCCATATCCAGCACGGTGACTCACATCTGTGATCTCAGCACTTTGGGAGCCCAAGGTGGGAGGATCACTTGAGTCCAGGAGATCAAGACCAGCTTGGGCAACGTGGCAAGACCTCATCTCCAAAAAATAAGTTAAAAAGTTAGCCAGGAATGGTTGTGTGTGCCTGTAGTTCTGGCTACTCTGGAGGCTGAGGGGAAAGGCTCACCTGAGCCCTGGAGGTTGAAGCTGCTGTAGCTGTGATTGTGCCACTGCACTCCAGCCTGGGTGGCAGAGTGAGATCCTAAATCAAAAAACAAAACAAAATTTAAAAAAAAACCTCAGTCCTTACTGGACTAGAGTATCCCCACTATCTTCTACCTGGTCTGGTCACTTTGGAATCCTTAGGAAAAAAATTCCTCCTGCTTTTCCTGGGTTTCTGAAACAGCTTCATAACCTAGCATTGGGGCAGGAGCTCAATTCCCACACAGATGTCACTGGACAGTGAGGAGTGTGGGGACAGGATGCCCATAGCAAGTAGGTTTTCATGGCTTCTCACCTGCTGCCAGTTTGCTTCCGAGGATACATGGCCTTAGGTCTCTGTCCCAGTCAGCTACCTCCAAAGCTTTTTCTACACAGCAGCCCTTGTCTGGGAGCATGTGAATGGACTGAGTTTGGATGGAGCTTCTTAGACTGTAAGGTGCCAGAGGAATGTCAGGATGATAATGTTATCACCCAAAACTCAACTCTCCCACCCAGCCAAAGTAGAAGTAGGCCAACTTCTACCCAGATTTCAGACTGAGCCCCTGGGAGGTGAGGTGGGAGGCAGCATGGCCTGGTCTCAACAGGTGTGCAAAGAGGCTGGGAGGACCACTCTCTCACCTGGGCCCCCCTTCACAAGAGCATATCCCTCCCCACTGAAGCCCATCCTGGGAAGGGTGCACAGCTCTGATTCCAAGATAGCTCTCCACGGAATCCTTTCTATATCCCTTTCCCCGGAGCATTGAAGGCCCATGAGAAAGGTTTTCTGAGAGGGGATAAAAGGAGAGAGGGAGAAGAGGGCATGGGGGAGCACCGACCTCTGCCCAGCCTGCTCAGCAGCCAGCCTCCACAGTCAGTGTCTCCATGTTTTTGTCAGTTTCCATGTAAATACCGTCCCTGTCCTCCCAAGCTTATTTCTCCGGTTGTGTTTGATTACCAGCGTTTATGTCTGTCCAGAGTCACTGCTTTACTCACCTCTTCCCTCCCTATTGTTCCCTTTTTCTCCCTCCCATTCCTCTCGTCCCCTCTTTTGGTCAAACTGTGCCCTTCGTCCAGGGAGCTTCAGGTTTGGACGGCAGGCCTGGGCCACCGGTGAGTGTCACTTCTTCATCACCCCTCACCCCACCCCACCCCATGCCCAGTCTGTGATCCCTCTTGTCTGTCCCGCTGTGGCCTCGTTTTCCAGTGAGTCGTGCCTTGTCCCGCCACCAACACCAGAAACATACCTTCTAAGTTCAGTTCAGAAGTGCTTTTTCAGGGCTTTTGACTAAAGATGCTGGCCTTCATCTGAATTCCCCTGTCCAAAGTTTATAGCCAGGGATCTCAAAGCTGCCAGGTGTGGGTGAGAGGCCACTCCAGTAGCACTGACTCTGATCCTGGAGGAACGCCGAGTCCAGCCTGGTGCCCAGGCCTGGGGGTTTGGACCATGACCTGTCTCTGCCAAACACAAGTGTCTGTATGTGCCCATCATGCTGTGTTGTCTTCATGCTGTAAGCTCTGTCCATCTCCTGTCTTCTCACAAGGGCTTCCTAGTCCTGTGCAGCCACCAATCTTGGTGTTTGAAGGGTGGGACAGCATTGAAGAGTGAAGGAAGGTGTAGCTTGTAGGAGACAGAGACCAATCTCAGCTCAGCATCCCGTGGGCACGGTGTAACCACATCTTACACTGTCTGTGGCACCACAGCCATCCTGCACCCCAATAAGGGAGTTTACTACGGAGCACGTGAGGGACACTTGGATCCCCTCTTTCTCCATTCTTTCTGGTTCCAGAACACAGGCATCATCTACTCAAAAAAAGAAAAAAGAAAGAAAGCGCCTGGCTCTTCTGCTTATAACAAATAACTGAACAATCAGAGACAACATCTCTCCACCTTCCAATCCCTTCCCTGAGTACCCTGTGATGTAATCAGAACAGTGGTACTCCTGGCTGTAGCCCATCACCTTCCCATGGGGTTAGGATCGCTGCCGACCAAGGCCTGGGAGACTGGACTTCCCTGCTTGGGACTGTAACCAGAGCCTGTTGTGCGCCCAGCCCCTTCCAGCCAGGGAGGCCCAGCTCTGCCTTGCAGGGTGTTTTCAAAGCCACTCTGCTCATGGCCTGCCCAGTAGACAGAGTTCTAATGAGCTGGCTGGAGTGACCCTTAGGGGACAGGAGGACACAAGGACAGGATAGGAGGCCTTCTGGAAACACACAGCTACAGCTCGCCTTCCTGGGGTTTAGGAGACTCACAACTGGTGCCAGCAGAAGCCTAGAACTTGAAGAGGTGGGAGGACCAAAAGCGACCCCCATCCCCTGTCCTATTGAAGGCCTATTCTGTGTCTTTGTGATCAAGAGGAGATGACAGCTTGCCCCAGATGGCAGATCTCTTCAGAGCCCCTCCCCCCATGCATTGATGGAGTGGATACCCTAGATTCTCACGGACACAGAGCAAACCCCAATTTTCCAGGCCTTTTTATGGGAACAATACTCCTCCACCACAGTCCCTCCCTTTCCATCTGCCCCTTACCTGGCACACCTGCCCCAGGTGCCAGGTCAGGGCTGGGAGATGATCTGCAGTCAGAGAGGCCAATGCTTCCCCCTCACCTGCTGATCCTATTCATGTTGAACAGAGGAAACTGCTATCCTGTTCATACACTCTGTCCCCTTGGACCTGAGGCTTTATTTTCCTCATAAAATAAATATCACAACCTTAAGGGAAAATACTTATTAAAAAAGCAACCCTGCCCTGCCAATATTAACATTGACTGGGCATGTCCTAGGTGTCAAGTTCAACAGCAAACGCTTGCCATATGCTGAAACCTAAAGCAGCACAGGAGGCAGACACTGGTGTCACCATCCTTGTGTTACAGATGGGGACATTCAGGAAGGCTAAGGGACTTCTCCAGTATTGGGAGTATTGGTCTTAGGCCTTTGAGGCAGGACTGGCTTGGGAGTCCTGTGCTGAGCCAACGCCATGATCTGGCTCCTTTTACATTCCACTGTGCTCTCATCACAGACACCCACAGCCTCCCTTCTTCCCCACAGTTGCAAAGGGGGTACCGAGACATCTTGTACCCTTTGTGTTTCATGGGAAGGAAATGCTGCTCCACCGTTCGCAGCCATACCCCCAGTACCGGAAACTGCCCACAGCCCAGCCCCGTATCCTCATCTGAGGCAGGGCAGTGGGAGGCTCTGAAGTAGACTGGGTCTAACCAGGCTGGAACCTGGGAACCTAGGAAGATATTGGATTAGGTCCTAGCATGCTCTGCTTCATGTCTAAGTCATGCTCTCCCATGGCTTCACCGCCACCAGTTCCCGCCACCCTGGGCTAGGAGGCCTCATGACACACCTTCCTGCCAGGTCAGTGTTGGTGCAACCATCAAGGCATCCTAATTCACTCTCAATCCAACCTGTTCTGCAGGCCTGTGAGAGGGAAGAGAAAGCCCTGGCCAGAGGCTGAGGCCAGGAATGGGGGTCTGCGGTGGGCAGGTGGGGTGGGCGTGGCTGAATGACCCTCTCTCGCCTGCCTCTGTGTGTATGTCCGCATTGGTCTCTATGGCATGAAGACCCTCCCGCTGCATGTGGAGCTGCAACAGCAAAAAAGGGTGTCAGCCCCAGGCCCCTGTCCCTGGGATGGTCAACACCCTCCCAAGTGCTTCTGGGAGCAGACTAAGTAACTTTTCTCCCAACGTTTTCAGCCTTGGCAAGTTTGGTTGTAAAGTGAAGGGGCTTTATTCCATGAGTCTGGCTCTGAGGCAGGGGGAAGTGCTCTCTCCCCTGAGACCTTCAAAGAGGATCACAGCCCAGGGGAATGATGGCCCTGAACAAGCCTGGCTTCGCCAACCCTGAAAACTGAGCCTTGGACCTTGCTTATCTCCAGGCATCGGGTGGGGCACCCAGGGCTCCCAGTGTGGGGACCCTCACCTCTGCTTCCTTTTCCCTCCCCAGGGTACTCCAGGACCAATCGGAGTTCCAGGCCCAGCGGGACCAAAGGGCGAGAGGGTGAGCCTGGGTGGCCAGGAGGGAGGACAGGTCTAGTACCCCAGTGGGACACTGTCAGCCCCAAGGGTGTTAGCCCTTATCCGTTCCTTCTTCCATCCCTTCTCCTGCTCATCCTCACTGCAGGCTATGGGGAACCAGCAGGCCTGGGGAGGGGGATTGCTTGTGTAGCTATGAGTGGACAGAGACTTGGAGTGATCAAGGAGGTGGAGAGCTTCCTCCATCCCAGCTTCTGGTCACCTAGCATCCCAGGCACTGCTGTCACTGGATGTGCCTAAACTTTGTAATGATTTAGGAAAACATCATGGAACAGAGTGCCAGGTGGTGTTTAGAAAATTCCTGAAGGGCATCCAGAATTCAGGAGGCCAGAACTTTAGGCCTGGTTCTCACTGCCCCTGTGAGTGACCTTGGCCACGTCACAGGACTCATGATTTCAGCCTGTCCCACATGGAGTGGCCATGTGTGAGGGTGAGGGAGAAAGGTGTTGGTTCAGCAGGGCGGGGAAGCTGAATGTCTTCCCACACCAGCTCTTTCCAGCCAACCCCGAGTAGCCACACACTCGGGGCTGGGAGGTCCCCAAGTGAGCATTCGCTGAATATTCTGCCTGCAGGAGCAGCTCCCCTTCTCTCCATCCATGCACCTTGCTGGCCGTGTCTAGGCTGAGGTGAGGGAAGTGGGTAGGCTTCTCTGAGATCCCCAAGCCCTAGGGGAGAAGAAATCGAAGCTCTCTTCCCTTTCCTTTCTCTTTCCTGCTCCTTTTTCTAGAACCTCCCCTGCTTTTGCCTCAGGCCAGCCTGTACCCTGAGGACGCTGCCCAGTGCTTCCAGAGGGCTTTAGTGAATAGGCTCTGCTGAGGGAGAGTGAAGGGGGGCTTCTAAGCCTCTGCCCTAAGTGTTCACACCAGCATCACCCCACCTTCCACACAGCCCCAAGGCAGTGTTCACACCATCAGCACTCCACCTTCTATGCAGCTCTTGCTTCCTGGAGAGATTTCCCTGGTTTCATACCAAAATAGAAAACAGTGATGGAATGTTATTATCACATCAGGAAGGACTCATGGGTTTCTTTCTCCCATTCTAGGGCAGCAAAGGAGACCCCGGGATAACAGGACCAACGGGAGCAGCTGGACTTCCTGTGAGTCTCATGGAATCAGAGATTTATCTCTGTCTGCCCTTGCCCTACATTAGAGACCTTGCCAAAACAGAACACCCAGAGCCAGGATCAAAACTCTGGGAACTTCTCATTTCTATGACCAAGGAAACTCCCAAGAGGCACCTGGGGATGGTCTAGAAGGCCCTGCTGGACACTGATAGAGGACCAGGTCAGAAGCAACATAGACCATCTGAGGAATGTAGCAATGCGTCTGAGCCCCTCTTGCTATAAGCTTCTGTGTTAGAGGAAACAGGTCCTCACAGGTGATGTGCCACGGCCTCTACCGTGGAAGAGGGGGCAGAATCAAACCCAGACCTCTGTGATACAAAAAAAAGAGATGTTTCATGAGCCAAGCAGCCTCCCAGGGTAGCTGGACCTTGAGGAAGAGGCTTGACTTCCCGTCAGTGGCATGTCTTCCCGTTGCTTTGTGTCTGTCTACGAGAGCCTGGAATTTTGTTTCTATCCACTTGAAGGCTGTCTACATGTTGACTAATTAGGCACCTCTGGGTCAGTCTTTGCCTTGTGCTAAATTCCCCTAGCTAAAGAATAGGTCGCATTTTGCAACTTGAAAAGAGGGTCTGCAGACTTTACATAGTCATTTTTCTAGCAAGAACCTGGCAGGAGATCCATGGGAATTCTCCTCTGGCAAAAGTCTCCTTTGCTCCCTGTCCGTGACCTCAGAACTCACCACTCACTCACATGAGTGACCTCAGAAGAATGCCGCTGCAGACCAGGACATGGGCTCCAGAGTGAGAAAACCAGAGGGTGTTCTTGGCTTTGCCATAACTCATTATCTGCTTCTGGATCAAGTTCCTTGAGTGGTTTGCTCCTTTGTCCTCCTTCTGTAAAATGGGGATAATTAAACCTGTCTCCTATGACTTAGTCATCAGGAAAGAGCTTTATGGGCCTGTAAGAAAGGTCTGTATGGCCATCTTGTGTTTCCTCATTAACATGTCTTTGTTTCTCTGATTTATTGCAGGGTTTACATGGACCACCCGGGGACAAAGGAAACCGGGTGAGTCAGAGCCCTCGAACTTTGACTCTAGTTACTAATGTCTTCATGATGAGGTGGAATGATCAATTGGGGATTCCCAACCCAACATGGCAAATACAATTTTTCCGATAAATCATCCTAAATTGAAAAGCTTTCCAGTGAAGGCCTTAATCCATGGCCTGCAGGGAGCCTGAGGCCTGATCCTGAAATTGAAGCATTTATTTTTCCACATGATGAGGGGAGACTGAATCCCACAGTGGCCATCAGCTTAGCATTGCCATCTGGTAACGGAAACCACGTGTTCAGCTCTTCCTAGGTTGCCCTGATGACGGACCCCTAAATCCATTTTAGAATCATCGTTACCTCCTCCTGGCCTTCTTAAACTTAGTTTTGCCAGGCATTCCAGGTCACTGGTGAGAGAGAAAATAAATTCCAGTTCCAAGAACAAGCAGACAGCTGTTGTAGCAGCCAACCCTTTAAAACAATGTTACAGTCACTATTTGTCTTGGAAAGAGTCGGCAGGACTATGAGAGGAATTGTGCCTTCTCAGACCTCTTACTTTCCCTTTGGCTTCCGCCATCTTCACAGGACACACTGACTGAATGTCCACAGCACCCTTGGCCACATGATGGTATGTGACACATGCCATTGCTGTCAGCATTTGGGCCCAGCAGGGAGAATTTAACTACATCTGACCAAGAGATGACCTTTGGTTCCTTTCTAGAATGTCTGGTCTGCTGCTTCCCCATGGTGCTTCTCAGAGTGTGACACACGCCCCCTTGGAGGCCACGTGCTTCTCCTAGCAGGTCATACAATCTAAGGCCCTTAAAAGAGAAAGAATGGGAGGAGCAGATGGAGAAACGAGATCCAGACGATGATAAAATGTTCTGAGTTCCCAAAGAGTTTTAGAGGCAGGCCCATGGTCTCTAGAACCTGGGTCTTGTGGCCCATCTTTGAACACTGATACTATGTTCATGAATAGAAAGTGCCAGTGTGATGTTTCTATCTGGCATCAATGAATTCCATCCTCTTCAGTACAAGATGTATTATTTATTGAGCACTCCTATATTTCTAAATACGCTTCACTGGCAGCGGTCAAAAGCAACCTAATTTGTCCCACATCGTCTATAAATAAGAAGAAGCAGACAGAGCTACCAGACTGCCCATGGGAAGACCAGGTCTAGAAACCACTGGAACAAACAGACCTTCCAGATACGTAACCAGCCTCTTATGGCACGCTGGGAAGCACTTTCCTGAGAGTGGCATTGAAAAAGTTAGGCCTCTAAAAACATTGATCATTCCACCCCTTACTTGGCATACTAACCTCCTTTCTAACTTCTTTCTAAAGTGTTCTAGTTTTCTTCATTATATTCAATTAATATTTTCAAGGCCTATTTCTTAAGACTTTTCCAGTTGGCTTGAGACACTGAGCCATTCGAAGCCTGGAAAATCTGAGGGATGGTGACTGTGTTGCCCTAGAGGCAGAGGCAGGACAAGTACCTGGTCACTGATGGAGGGAGGAGGCGGCTGATGGCTCTGATACTAAAGGAACCAAAGTTGTCGAGTGATCCACTGAGGCTCCAGGAATCAGTGAGAAAATGTTTCTTCTCCACCTCCCCTTCCTAGTGTTTGACACACTTTCCTCCATCCCATATGTAAATTGGGAATGTGTCACTTAGTAAAGGTTAAGTTCAGAAAACAGTGAAGTTTTCTTCTGAGTACACCACAAAGAGCCAGTTGGCTTATTCCAAAGAGCAGGTTTCCGAATCCAGGAGCAGATTATTCTCTTCATTCAAGAGATCTGGCTTTCAGGAGGCCAGGATGTCCTGGAAGAGTTTCCCCTGAATCTCGCCTCCTCGTTGAGACCTTTTAATGCCCTAACATGAGTTTTGGGGGAGATGTGAGGGCTTGATAATAAAAGCTCTAAAACAAAGAAACAAAGTTCAGAGCTTGCCTTGCCATGGACAGTGGTGGGGGGAGGGTGGTGTTTATTGTTTGTTTTGTTTTGTTTTCACTTTGGTCAAGATAAAATGACAGCAGGGCCAAGACAATGTGACAGTGAAGCTAGAGATGTTCCAAGCCCTCCACCCCACCTGGGTTTTGGAGGCTGGTTCCCTGTAGGGCAGCCCCTTGACTTTGCCCATGTCATGCCAAGGAGACCCCATCAGAGCTCTGTTCTATTTTACAGTGAACCAATACACAGCCTTAAAATTATGCTTCTTCACGTCCCACCAAAGGACAATCTTAGAGTCTCCTTCCTGTGCATGGAAGGAGGAAGTCATCACAGGGGTGGGCAAAGGCCCAGAATCCAAAATGGGGAGCTAAGGACCTATATGTCAGTGGAAAGAATGTTCTGCTTTTGACACTAAGTGTGCCCCTTTGTCCCTAAGTAGCTGTGTAAGTTTGGTCCAGGAGCCATCTTTAGAATAAGAAATCAAAGCATAAGAGAGGTGTGAGTGTAGCACGTGACCTTCAGGAACATCAGGTGTGACAGTGGTGCTACCTGCAAGCTGGCCAACTGAAAAGGTCTGTGTGCGTGCATGCATTGAAGTGTGTGTGTGTGTCTTGCTTCCCTCAGCCCATCTGTCTCCTCGCCTCTCCCTCCTCTACAATCTCTTTCGGCCTGGGCCTGCCTCTTCCTTCCTTTACTCCTTCGATCTTTCTCCCCCAAGATGTGTTCACCCCACTACAATAATTTCATATCCCTCATCCTTTCCCTTTCACCCTCCACAACTTTTTATTTCCTCCAAAACCCATGTTTATACATTTATGTGTATGCTTAAGAAGCCTCTGCTCCTTGACTTCTTTTGCTCATTTTTTCCTTACCAGCTAGGATTTCCTCTTTGCCAGGATCTCTCTGAGGGTGGGAGGTGGGTAGGTTAAAAATAAAGCTACTACTCTACTGTCTTCAAAGGGCTCCTGCTTGGGGGTGGTTGCCCATGTTCTTGGAGCACCACACCCCGTAGTATAAGTTACCACTGTGAAAGTCTGTTATCCCCAAGCCAATCATCTGAGGCCCGAGATTTCCACTCCTCCACAGCCTTGCCCACCTTCTTCAGGAAACTGCTCATGACCCAGAGAGTGAGGGGCCGCTCTCCTGAGAAAGTGTACCATGGGGCTCCCCCCGCAAATAGCTGGTGGTCTTGCTTGTGTACCATTTGGAGGTTGTTCATACCATGATGTTCTTGTTGGCGGATGTATCTTCAAGGATTACACTTGATATGCACACATGTGTTTCCTCTTAAGCACATGTCATTTTCTAAGAATTGGCATTTTTAGAAAATTCATTTGGAATAACTCATTGGCAATTGCAGACAACTTCTGAAAGCAAGAAATTTGAGTAATTTCCAAAGATCTGAGGAAACATCAAAAACATTCTTATCCTCTGCCTTCCTCTGCCTTCCACTGTGGGAATGCTGCAGACAGGACAAGACCTCTGACCCCTAAAACATGCCTGTGGCAGCAGCTTTTGTTTCTCTCCTGGCTAACAAGACATTGTAACCATTATTATTATCATTATGAAACAGCTATCATTCGCTGAGCACTACCATATGCCATTATTAAGCATTTAATGTGCACAAAGACCTCATAACAAGTTTTTGAGGCAGGTGTCATTGTATCCATTTTACAGGTGAAGAAACCGAGGTTCATAGAGGTTGAATAGCTTCCCAAAGTCACGCTGCTGATAGTTGTCAGAACCAGCTCTGACTCCAAGCCCTTGTTCTGACCAATATGCCACTCAGCCTTCAAGGCCTTGTCACACCGGAGTGACACTGTGGAAGTCCACAAGCACTAGATAATCAGTCTTCCATAGAGGAGAAGTTCTCCTAGGAAGACTCCCTGGGGGCACACTTGGCCCCCATTTAAGGAAACACACACATGAAAATGCAAATTCAAGCCCATTTCAGAAGTGATGCTTCACTTTAAAAAATAATTTCCCACAACCCTTCTTTAAACGGACCCTGACACACACAAAAAACAGAATTCAACTTAGAAAAATGGTGTTGACTGACTTTTCAGAAACAAATGAATTCCTTGAATCAACATGTCCATATATAAATGACTATCCGTGACTTCAGGTCAGAATGAAACAGACACATATAGAATGGGAAAACCCAGCTGAGAACCAGGGGCCACCCAGGAGCCCTGGACACACATATACGCATGTATACAAGCACACACACAGACACACACGTGTACACAAGCCTGAGGACATACCCACACACATACATGCAAACACACACATACACAAGCACATATCCACACACTCAGACATACACCACACATACACAAACATGTACATGCAGACATGCCTACATGCTGTGTTCACAGCCCGGAGCTCTGAACAAAATCACCTTTCCGCCTACTAAACCATCAAAGGGGTGAAAGTCAATTGGGTCAAAAGGTTGTCAGCCCAAAGCCTTTCAAAAATAGACCTTCGGAGAGACAGAAGTTGGTCCCCAGGCACTGTGTTCAGCACAGCCCCACTCCTGGGCTGGTATTAGCAAAACTGACCACCAGCAGCTTCAGGCTGTGCTTCCCCCCACCTGCAGTTCTGAGCCCTGCTGCACACACCCCCCCC